TCAAATCTGAACAGGAACCTGGACCTGTCATAGTCTATGTCCCAATCAGGTACATTGGAAAGGATCTAGCACAGATTCATCGTCTATCCAGTGTATAGCACTTGAACCTTACACCAGCCTGGTGAGCATTCAGGGCCTTTAGTTCAAAGACAAAGATACTGTGATTCAGAGAATTAAGTAATTTGCCCAAGGGCTCTTGTGCAGTAGACAGTGAATATGGCTTTAAGAAAGGTGTACTGGACACAAAAGACTATGGTTTTCCTTAATCCACATGGCCTGATTACAAAGGCCATTTCCACAAAGGAGGACATTTTAGAATAGAGAAAGCTGGGTGAGGGCATAAAAGAATTTAAAAAGGAAAAGCAAAGACCCAGGGCCAAGGCACCACCTCCACACTGGCCTCGCCCTCTGCCCAAACAGCATCCCTTGAGTTTGGGTATTCAGCTCCATTCAGGAATGAACTTTGTATGGGTGGATGCTGGTTGAGCTGAAAAGAAATTACTTCAACAGCCAGTCATTTATTGCCTTACTTTTATTTGAAAATACAGCCCACTACGTAATTCCTGTAATCAAGAAGTTTACAGTCTTCTGGGGAAACAGACAGTGAAGACATTATGTCTCCTGGAGGCTGTAATAAACAAACGCAATTGGCAGGCAACAGTGGTATCTTCCCGGAGACTTGGATGGGTGGGAAAGGGAGTGTAGGTATTATTGGGTGCAGAAAAGTGTTTGAAGGCCAGCCTTCGAGAAAGATGCTCCTAAGCCTTTCCTAGCAGCTGGATTTGGGAGTGACAAAGGGCAGAGTAGGGGGGAGGGCAGTTTTGATTAGGGAGGTGTCTCCAGAGGTTGAGGGATGAAAAGGTGATAGACTCGCACCATATAAATAATTGCGTAATTAGCAGAATTAGCCCCAGGGCCAATTACGCAGTTGAAGTGAGATGTATTGGGTCTTCCACAACAGGAGTGGAAACTTTGGCCTTGCCAAGATACTGGGATCGCTGAAAATGGAGGATGAGTGGGGTTTTAAGTGTGGTACTAAGTAGCGGGAAGCCAGGTGCACCGGCTCATCTGGCTTTGTGGATAAGCGAAATCTTTTGAAGCCTCCAAGACTAGGGTGGTTATGAGCTTCGAGAGTCTTGGAAAAGTCTGGAAGCGTTGTGGAGGAAGATGCACCTCTGCAGCCGAGGACGCACCCCAGGACTTCAGCGTCCCCCAGCTCTGAGGGCCGGGATCTGGTCCGAGGCCGAGGGAGGGGCCCCCACGCTGCGCAGCTGGGGGGGCGGAGCAGGTGGCCGCGCGGCTTGTGCAGCTCCCGGGCGTGCGCGCGCGCAGCGGTGGGGGGGGACGCGGAGCGGGCGGGGCGCGCGGGGAC